TCACACTGATGAGTTTGTCAAAGGGGCAAGGGGCTGACTGAAAGAGCTCTAGTGGCCAAAGATGGAACAGTTTGAACAACAAAACAAAGTAGTATGGGATAGTAACCCGAAGTATAAAATAATGTTTATGAGTCCATGCTGATATAAGTAAGTGAGTAAATAAGTGGGGCAGAAGAGACAAGTCTCACGCAGAAGAACGCCAAATAATTTATGTGGATGTTAACCCCCTAAGGGAGATGAAACCTAACTCCCCACTCTTTAAGTATAGACTGCACATAGTGATTTTCTTCTGAAGAGCAGAGTATAAAAAGTGGAGAAAAGAGTAACTTTTCAACAGAGAAGCCTGACAAGCACAGACCTCAGATAAGGTCAACACCAACACTCATAAATTATGTTCATAGTATGTATTTTTTTATATGAAGCAGTGAAAATGGCACTCTACTTGTGATCTTCCCAAAGCCCATATTCTCAGTCTGTAATCATGAGGAAAACATCAAATTCCAATAGAGGGCATTCTACAGTATAAAACCTGACCGGTACTCCTTCACACTGTCAAGGTCATCAAAAGCAAAGAAAAGTCTAAGAGATTGTCACTGCCAAGAGGAGCTGAGGAGACATGAGTGTCCTGACACAGAAACTAGAGAGTGGGAGAGTGAGTGAAATGGGGAAATATGTAGTAGGAAAGCTGGAAGTCCTAAGGGCCTGTGTGAGGTGAATGATGCCAGTCAGCAAGGATACACCTTTTCATTTCTTGTCCTTAGCTGCATAGAACAGGCGAGGGGTAGGCAGTTTTAATGTGTAGCGAAGTGATTATATAAAAGGAATGATGAATGCTGGAAGATCAGTGGGATTGATTTAGGGTTTAGCAGCATCAAAGGATTGCTGGTGTTGGTAGTGCTCAGAGTGAAAAAAGTAAGAGGTGGAGAGCAACTGCAATTTCAGAGTTGTGGTCATGGGTACTGATGATGAGGCAGAGGCTGTGACCATGGGCTTGTGTGGCTGAGGGAGGCCAGAGAACAAGAGCATGGGAGAAGATGAGGTCAAGGAACTGTCACAAGCCTCTCTGGCTATTGAAATCCCTGGAAGTTATGAGCAGTGTTAGAGATGATAACAACAGTGGTTGGTAGATGTGGTAGGTAGAGTCTGAAGGCCCGGGAGTTCTATAGGAGGGAGGTAGATATCTCAGAGAGGCAATGGGGAGCCACAAGGACACTCCTCTATGTGCAGTGGTACAAAGGACTGGGTGGGAACAGTGACCCCTAGAGAGCACTGTGGATGAGGCTGTTCCTCAGAGGAGAGCCAGGCCTCAGTAGATGAGGTAAGGAGACCATTACAGGAGGGTTGGGGCAATGGTATGGGAAAAATGAAGGCAGAAAGGGGAGTGTGCAGGGCCACATGGGCATTAGAGTGCAGATAGCAAAGAAATGGGCATACTCATGTCCTGATGATTTGAGTGTCAGTTAGTATCCCTTTTTTTATGGCATTTTGGTAATAGAGCAGAAATGTGAAATAAGGGCGTCTGGGTGGCTCAGTTGGTTAAGCGACTGCCTTCGGCTCAGGTCATGATCCTGGAGTCCCAGGATCGAGTCCGCATCAGGCTTCCTGCTCAGCAGGGAGTCTGCTTCTCCCTCGGACCCTCCCCCCTCTCACGCTCTCTCTCTCTCTATCTCATTCTCTCTCTCAAATAAATAAATAAAATCTTTAAAAAAAAAAAAACAAATGTGAAATAATTCAGGAGAAAATTTAGGTGACCTCAGGTTTGGCAGGGTTTTTAGATACAACATAAAAAGCATGATCCATTAAAGAATAAATTGGACTTCATTAAAATTGGAATCATCCTGGCTGGCTCATTTGGAGGAGTGTGCAACTGTTGATCTCCTGGTCGTGAGTTCAAGCCCCATATCACATATAGAGATTACTTAAATAAAACTTAAGAAAAAAAAAAAAGAAACCTTTCTATCTGAGAAAGACACTACTAAGAGAATAGAAAGACAAGTCACAGACTGAGAGAGAATATTTGTAAAGCACCCATCTAATCAGATGTTATCCAAAATATACAAAAAAACTTCAAACATCAACAATGAGAAAATAAACAACCTAATATAAAAATGGACAAAAGATCTCAACAAAGAAGATACACAGATGGGGCGCCTGGTTGGCTCAGTCGCTAGAGCAAGAGTACAACTCTTGATCCTTGGGGTCATGAGTTCGAGCTCCATGTTGGGCATGGAGATTACTTAAATAAGTATTAAAAGAAGAAGAAGATACAGATGGCAGATAAGCATATAATAAGATGTTCAACACCATGCTATTAGGGAATTGCAAAATTAAAAAAACAATAAGATACACACGTATTAGAATGGCCTAAAAATTTTTTGATGGCAATACCAAATGCTGGCTAGAATGCGGAGCAATAGCAACTCGCATTCATTGCTGGTGGGAATGGAAAATGGTATAGCCACTTTAGAAGACTTTTTGGCAGTTTCCTACAAAACTAAACATACTCTTAACATGCAATTCAGTTGTGCTTCTTATTATTTACCCAAATGAGTTGGAAATTGATGTCCACACAAAAACCTACACACAAATGTTTATAGCATCTTTATTCATAATTGCCCCAAATCAGAAGCAACCAGCCAAGATGTGAAGTACATAAATATACTTTATTTAAAAAGGGTGAGTGAATAGGGGCACCTGGGTGGCTCAGTCATTATGCGTCTGCCTTCGGCTTGGGTCATGATCCCAGGGTCCTGGGATCGAGCCCCGCATTGGGCTTCCTGCTCAGCGGGAAGCCTGCTTCTCCCTCTCCCACTCCCCCTGCTTGTGTTCCCTCTCTTACTGTGTCTGTCTCTGTCAAATAAATAAAATCTTTAAAAAAAAAATGGGTGAGTGTATAGACTGTGGTACATCCATACGATAGAATATTATTCCATAACATTAAAAAGATAAAAAAACAGAAATGAGCTATCAAACTGCAAAAAGACATGGAAGAACCTAAAATGCATATTGCTTAGTGAACAAATCTGGCCTAACACAGCTACATACTGTATGATTCCAACTATAGAGAGTAAAAAAGATCAGTCATACTCTCTGTAAAATAAATAAGTCTTTAAAAAAAAAGTTGCGGGGGGGTACCTGGGTGGCACAGTCAGTTAAGCCTCCGACTCTTGGTTTTGGCCCAGGTCATGATCTCATGATCATGAGATCGAGCCCAGCGTTGGGCTCCACCCTCAGCACAGAGTCTAAGATTCCCTCTCCCTCCCCCACTCACACTCTCTCTTCTCTAAAATAAATAAGTAAATCTTTGAAAAAAAAATCAGTGGTCACCAGGTGTTTGTGGGGGTGGAGTGGGGAGAATGAGTGGGTGGAGCACAAGGGATTTTTTAGGGCAGTGAAGTTATTCTGTGTGATACGATGGTGTCAGAAACATGACAGCGTGCCTTCGTCAGAATCCGTAGGCCTCTACAACAGAAAGAGTGCACCCCGATGTAAACCATCGACTTGTTTAATGCAAGTGTATCAGAGACCCTTAACTGTAGAGAACAAACTGAGGGCTGCTAGAGGGGAGGTGGGTGGGGGAATGGGTTAAATGGCTGATGGGTATTAAGGAGGACACTTGTGATGAGCATCAGGTGTGAAATGTAAGTGATGAATCACTAAATTCTATTCCTGAAACCAATATTACATGATATGTTAACTAACTATCAACATCCCTCACCAGCGGGTACATTTCTTACATTTGGAGAACCTATACTGGCACATTATCACCCAGAGTCTGCAGTTTGCATTAGGGCTCACTCTTGGGTATTGTACAGTTCTGTGGGTTTGGTCAAATGTATAATGAATAACATACATCCATTATCATAGTGTTTTCACTGCCCTGAAAATCCTCTGTTCTGCCTATTTCATCTATAGCTATGTAGATCAAGCTAGTTCAAAAAAAGGGCGGAGGGTTTCTGAATCACTAAATTCTACTCCTGAAACCAGTATTACACTATATGTTAACTAACTAGAAGGTAAATAAAAACTTGAAGGAAAAAAAAAGGTTGCAACAAATCCCATTGTTTTGAAATCTGGTGTGACTTGGAATAAAAGCTTAAGAAAGGTAAATGGATGTTATGTGTCGATAGTGGGATTGTGCTCATTTTTCCTTTTATCCTTATGTATTATAGTTCTTTTATCAATATGTATTACATTTATAACCCCTCCCCAAAAAGATGAAGCTAATTTCTGAAAAAAAAAATTTAGGGGAATGTAACATCTAAAAGTAAAGGGAGAATATCTGATACAAATGGGCAGAAATAATACTACACCTCAATTTATTATTTCTGGTGATTGTCTTTTTTTTTTTTTTTAAGATTTTATTTATTTATTTGACAGAGAGAGACATAGCAAGAGAGGGAACACAAGCAGGGGGATATAATAAGATGTTCAACATCATGCTATTAGGGAATTGCAAAATTAAAAAAACAATAAGATACACACGTATTAGAATGGCCTAAAAATTTTTTG